AGGTGGGAGGTGTGCATCCCCACCTGCACAGACCACGCCCACACCAAGGGCTCCTCCTCTCCAGCCCTGACTGCCTGTCACTTCACAGACCACGCCCACACCAAGGGCTCCTCCTCTCCAGCCCTGACTGCCTGTCACTGCAAAGACCACGCCCACACCAAGGGCTCCTCCTCTCCAGCCCTGACTGCCTGTCACTGCACAGACCACGCCCACACCGAGGGCTCCTCCTCTCCAGCCCTGACTGCCTGTCACTGCACAGACCACGCCCACACCGAGGGCTCCTCCTCTCCAGCCCTGACTGCCTGTCACTGCACAGACCACGCCCACACCGAGGGCTCCTCCTCTCCAGCCCTGCCTGCCTGTCCCTGCACAGCATCCGAGTCGGCTAGGAGAGAACCTCCAACTGAAGAAATCTTAAAATACATTCCCTGACCTCAAAAAGCCACATTCTTGACCCAAATGGTTCCTGCGGTGCCCATCTTCTCCATGCCACATGCCTAAGTGTACAATGCAAGGACCTCACACAACTCCTCAGGTGATGATGTAGGGCTTCCAGGTAATAGCTGGTTCATTCTTCATCTAGTCCACTGACAAAACATTAAAAAAAAAAAAAAAGTACAACAGTCTCATAATAATGAAACGCAGTAATAAATATTCAGTCCTGGCCGGTTTGGCTCAGCGGTTAGAGTGCTGGCCCATGGACCAGAGAGTCCCGGGTTCGATTCCAGCCAAGGGCACATGCCTCGATTACAGTTTGTCCCTGGCCCCAGTTGGGGTCGTGTGGGAGGCAACCAATGGATGTTTCTCTCTCTCTCCCTCCCTCTAACCCTTCTTCCCACTCTGAGGATAAATGTAAAAATATCTTTTGGAGAGGATTAAAAAAAAAAAAGAAATATTCAAAAAGGCTGAGTACCCACTATGTCTTCCTGACGCCTCCTCCCACTCACCGAGAAGAGTCACAGGTTGTGACGAGAGAATGAAATTAACCAACCGCTCTGCTAACCAGTTCTAGGTGAGGTGTCCGCTGCAAAGAAAACACTGTTCTCTTTGGTAACTTCCAACAACAGTAGTAACAGCACAGATGCGTTTCACGCACCACCCTGACCTGACAGGTCCAAGTCAGACCCCAGGCATCATCTCAGCCTCTGCCTGGCAGCCTGAACGCTCACCATTAGTCTCACCAGCTTCTCCATGTGATCCAATGGGACCATCTCCAAACATTGTCCCCTAAGGCCGACCATGGCAATTACAACACTGCATATAATTCTTCAGGGAGGTTCGACTCTCAGTGGAAAATGCAAGGGGTTCTGTGTTGGTCTGAGTTGAGGTTTCTAGGGTTTAAGTCCCAGTGGCGGAAACACACACAGGGTGGCACCCAATGCCTTCACGAGCTGTCGTGACATCTGGTGCCGCTGGCCGCCTCCCAGGTTCTCCCATGGGATCCTGCATAGTGGCCTGTGGGCCCGACAGAAAGCCCCTTATGCTGACTTCTGCTGCAGGTGCAATCTGAGCGCACTGGTCTGTCTTCACCGTGGGGGCGCGTGGCCTCTCCCAAGTGTGAGTGCCACAGAGGCTCTGTGAGTCTGCGGCGGGGACTTTCTCCTCCCACCTGGTGCAGAGCTCAACCTCCGCAACCGCTCAACCCGGTTATTCCTCCTGTGGGGCCCAGTGGTGCGAATGTTTTCAAATTCAAGTTTGTAAGTGGTAAGTCTGTAATATACTCTGATACTCGGAGGTTCTGGTATGTCCTGGACTGGGCATACCCTTTTCTAAGGAAAAGAGAAGTAGCTATCAGATCTGTCCTGTTCAGGACACTCCCGAGACGAGGGGACACCACGGTCTGCTCTGAGAAGGGGCGGAGCCAGTGAGGGAGGACAAAAACCCCGCTGAGCACAAGGGCCCCTCTGCACATCCTGGTCCGCACACCTCAGGTTATCAGGCACAATGGCCACTAGTTAATTAAAAAGCAGGTTTCCAGACTTGGGCACAGGAAAGGGCAAACATGATAGCAGAAGCGCGGAAATGCTGACCTTCAGAGACAGGAGGCCTGAGGCGACACAGTGGGAGTGTGATGGCCTCAAACTGTCCCGGAGGGCAGTTCTGCACACCTGGATCTCAGCTAGCCCCTGACCAGGGCTCCTCCTACCTCCATCGCAGGGCAGGGTTCTTAAAAACTAAAACTGCTGACATTTCTTGTGTAGGTCATCTGCTTGGATAACAACTGATAGATAAAATCTGTTTTGGTTTGGGCCCTGCCTAGCACTGAAACTCTCTTTTGACCATGTTTCTGGTGTTTTCAAGAACCTGTTAGTGTTCACCGGCACTGCCCATGGAAAATAATCTACTATTCAGTCTACTTCTCCTCTAGATGGGGGAACCAGGAGCAAGCCCTGTCCAGCGCCCGTGCTCGGTAGTCCTCAGAGGCTCCGCAGGGCTCCCGCTGTCACATGCACCGGGCAATGTTTGCTCATGCGTGAGATGAATGGACAAGTGAACGACGTCCCTCAGCCAAGATCGGCAGGGACTGGCCATGTGAAGCTGCTGCTGAAGCAACCTGACCACTGTGGTGACTAGACTAACTGTATATACCAAGAAGAAAAGAGAGGCAAGAAGAGGTGAGCAGACTTCTAGGTAGCCAGGAAAATAAAGGAAGAAGTTGGTGATAATGTGATGATAGCATTTTTTCTGCTCCTCTTGACCAGAGATTGCTTAGCAAACTTCCACAAAGGCCAGCCAAATAGGAAGGGCACAGGGACTACTGCAATTGCTCAATTGTTCTGTTGTAGTCCAAGAGCAGCCAGAGGTAATTTCATAAGTAAATGGGCGTGGCCATATTCCAATAGAACCTTATATATGGGCACTGAAATTTGAATTGCATTTAACTTTGTCTTCTTTTGATTCCCTGCCCCAACTATTCAAAATGTCAAAAGCTTTCTTAGCTCGTGGGCTTTGGTCCGAGGTCTGAAGTCCCCTACCCTGCATTTGACAAGCGCTATCTCAACACTAACCATTCTCTCGAGCTTCGAGAGAACCGAACCCTCCCGAAGCGACAGCTTCCTTCATGAAAGCAGACTCTCAAGCCAAAATATTATTTGGAACATCACAGGCCCCTACCACACGGTAACTTCTGGCCCGAGGATCTTGAATTCCTATCGAAGTTGGAAAGTCTACCTTCAGTCTGATTCAGAGCTGAAGGATGAGGGGGGAATCTGTAAATAAATGAAATCCACAAATAATCAAAGAACCCTCCCATAGGTTTGTACTACTCAGGCCACAACCACACAAAAATATCGGTGAAGCGTCCAGGAGATAGCCACTGCCCTTATGAATGGCCTCATTCCCTTTCTCCTCCTGCTGGCTCCTCATGGGGAGTGAGGGATGATCAATAAAACAAATAACCAGTTCCTGAGTGAGTAACAGGGCCCCACACTCAAATCTGCTGCAGTCTGGAATGCAGAGCTGGGCAAAGCATAACAATAGCTCTAGTAGGTAACTTATTCTAGCTAATCAGTAAAAATTTAATTTTATCAATTACATAAAAAAATGCAGGAACTTGGATCACTTTATAAACACCGCCAACACATGTAAAGGCAGGCTGAATTAAATTTTTCAAGGCCTTATACTACTAACTTCAATGTAAGTGAACTTTGGGGCTGAGACAAATACACTGCCTTTTCCCTTCCCGATAAACATGCTGACTTTAAAGATATTTCCAAAGATTTACATAAAAATGTGGGATTTTATGATGTGCCTTTTGCCTGTATAAATATTCTACTGTTCTAATAAGTTCGTATCTCGTCTGAATAGAAAAATATTAACTAGTTGACGAAAATAACTTTTGAGATAATCTTACTTTAAAAAGTATAATTTGTCATAGAAGATAATAATTAATTTTAAAAAATCCTTTCTATCCTAAAAAGTCACAACAAAAAGTTACAGTGTGTTTGGGCTGATTTTTCTCTGCAACTGTTTGAAGCTGTAAATGACTTAACTCAGTAAAATTCCAAATGTAATTATCTTCCTACTTAGCCTAGGGCTCTCCATATATCTCAGCATTGCTGTCTCGCATACAAAATAGCCTTTTCGCTGGCTGCTAACAATATAATGTACAACATTGTTTTAATTCCCCCCGTCGGCTAACCCTTGCCTCACGAGCAGCCAGAGGAAGGGGCCACAGTGAGTCATCGGGCATTCAAATGCGTTTGGAACACAAATGGGGTTTGCAGGGTCAGGCTTTTGCAATTGTACATTTTAATAATCTCCATTTCTGACCCAATTTTTACTTTTAGAAATGAATTTTCTATTAATTATACCAAGAATGGAGTTATTGTTAAAATATGGTGGTTCACAAACAAGTGACATCAGGAACTGGAGCCCACGTTGCAAAGGCCCCCACCCTCCTCACACTGGGATCCACAGGAACCGGCAGGCGTTTATTTTCTCTAGTCATGAAATACATTCAATATGACCCCGTGGATTTCCAAGAACAAAGACTGCACATACATATGAGTTCGTATGTCTATCTGTCCGTGTGTGTATTTAAAGCGTGTGCAGGACTCCGGGCCGTTCTCTGTCGTGGGGAGGACGGGACAAAGACGAACGAGGCCCGAGCGCAGCTTCCGTGTAACCGGAGACAGGCCCGCACTGGCCCGGCGGCCTGCTCCCTCTATTCAAGCATTCTCTCCCTCTCCCGGCTCCGCGCCCAGCTCCAGGTCAATAACATCAGCACTTAGGAGACTTCCCTAACAACAGTTAACCCGGTTAGAGGAGAGGAGGGGGCGGGGGAGACGGTGCCGGCTGAGAGCCGGCTTTGGGCACAGACGCACAGAATTCCGAAGGGTGGACCAGGGCAGAGCTTCTCCAGAGAGAGAAAAATCAAACCAAATCAAACACAAGTTCTGACCCTCCATTGGATAATGAGCACACGGGACTCAGGGCACACACCGCAGAAGTTCGGAGCGAGGAACACTGAGGAAATAGGAAAAGGAAATGGGGTTTACCTGTAGCTCTAACTGCTGAACAACCTGCATTTGTACTCTACATTGAGCTGTACTTCTATCGTCCAGCGCATGCTCACTGTTGAGATGT